GAATGTATGAATGTATGAATGTATGAATGTATGAATGTATGAATGTATGAATGTATGAATGTATGAAGGTGTGCATGCATGCATGAGTATATATTTGAGTGTATATATGCCTTAATTTGTGTGCGTATTTGTGTTTTTTGTTTTTTTGTAATGACCTTTAACTACCGGCAAAATCAAGCGATTAAGGCCCGATCGTATCTCCATCCTGACCCAATCAACATCTATCATCATCGTTTGATTAGTATTAAATCCTGTGCTAAATAAGTTCGTCGATTATTCTTCTTAGTGTGGGCTCTAAGCCACATGGAAAATGCCCGAAACTAGTCAATCTATCTACAGTTTTCACTGTTCTCATAGACGCCATGTTCGTATGATAGGAGATCGATATTGAAATTGACTATAGATTAAAGCATCGCGCAACAATTGGTGGGCTTTGCCGCGTCACGGCTCCGCCCAAATCCTCTGGCCCAGCAACAAGCATGTGGTCTCGATGACAGGAGGCTCGATAGGCTCGTTGAGCTAGACACCCCGCTAGGATCGTGTTGAGATGTCCACGGGCTGAGGGGTCACCGAACAGACGAGGGGTGCGCACGACATTAGTCAATTATGGCCAGTCAGGGCCATTTTCAGTGGATGTATGTATGCTGCCCCCTTCGGTTGCTAGTGCCAGCACCAGACCTCGATGTTGCCCGCTGTGTCGCCCTGTCTCTTTCTCTCTCTATCTCTTCGTTGCTATGCCGACAACGTCCTGATATTTGTTTAAACCACCTCAGATCGGATCCCACAAAGTTGATCAAGGCTATCATTTCGATTCAACCAGCTCGTGGATGGAAATCGTCACGCAACGTCATGTCCCGTCCCGTCCCGTCCCGCCCCTCCGCAACTCGGTCTTGCACCCAAACGGGCCCAGCGATAGCCGCGTCCATCAATCCTCAAATCTACACCTTCACCCACCTTCCCAGTCCCACTTAGCATCACTTCTCGCCCACCAAGTCGTTGCAAGACGAGTCCCTCTTTCGGCATGGCCTCCAACCGACCATCATTCGTCTCAATGGCATAAGGGCCCGACGGCAGACCAGGCCCCAACTAATTGACGGCCGGTAATTGGGGGCCTTCGTGTCTGGCGCCGGACACCTTGACGGCCGATCTGCTCGGCATGTTTACTAAACGTCCCCCGGTGCAGCCAGCACATGTCGCCAGGATCGAGTTGTCCAGGTAGGCCTGTCAAGTTGCGTATGAGGCGCGTCATAGCCTCAGACGTAAAAGCAGACTCCGAATGGAGGCTGAATGCATCATGTGAAAGTTGACACTTCGCTCTCTCCTCTCGACGCCAATTCTGACTCCGATGCTTTCGGCTCATGCTCGTGTCAATGGGCCATTTGGACGCAAACAGCCTGCAAACAAGCCTCATTTCACGGATGACTGAACAAACTCATTTACAGTTGGAATTGTCTGAGGAAACCGTGAATTAGAGACTGGGACAGCTGAACTAGGAGAATCGGCATGTGCCCTAGGTCCCTTGACGCCACAGTTCTGTGAGAAGATAAAGATGGTTTATCGGACGAGGGCTTAAGGAACTCAGCAGTGGATTGTTTTAACGTGGACTGGATGAGTGGACTTAGTAGCATAATTTAAAGCTTAATCCTTGCAGTCAGGATAGAACAGTGATCTATTCACAACAGATGACACCAACAGTGTGTACACGGCATGTGTCAGAATATGACACGGACGAGAATCACATTAAATTCAATAAATAACTGTATTTGGTGAAGTTCTTGGGACAACATTATTGAGGAGACATTCAAGTTGCATAAAGTCGCATAATAAAGAGATGCGAGGTCAACTTCTACAAAAGATGGCAGCAGATTTCTGCTTTCCCGCAGCCATTCAGTTTTAATACAATCTTCAGATTGGTGCAGTCCCTCCTTTGGAGAAATGTGACTACACTTTCGTCCGTCATGAGAATTGACGGACCCTGTCTTAGATGAAACTTATCCTGCTCAATTCTACATGTTAATTAAACTTATGACGAAAATATATTGACTATAAAAACATATATATATATATATGTGTGTGTGTGTGTGTAAAAAGGAAACTAACACAATAGCTAGTTAACTTAAATACCTAACAAACCATGACATGTAGGTTAGTATCTGATAGTCTTCTTGACTTAGTGTTGGTTCGATCTCGTTTTAGCAACTTGGTCTGAGGGTCAGGGAGACCTTGTGGAATGTACCCAGTCCTGTGTGATTCTGTCATAGTATTGGACCATTAACTTGATAGATCCCTAAACGTTTCACCGGCATCGTGAGCGAGAGGCGCAATCGTTGGCACAGAGTTACACCTCATCAAATTGACAAGGCAAGGCTAATTGACTAATTTTCTCGAAGGTATGAAGACCAAGATGGTGTGACCTTTTGTGTGGTCGCAGTCTCTTTTCGTTTTATAGAAGTTGTTTGACCTTGTTTCTTGTCTCTTTGACAAGTTGTAATATGGTCCTACGAATGGCGAGACTA